TAAGATTAAAGTCTGACTTGTGAGATATAAACAATTGTAATATTTCGAAAAAGTCAGAATTGTGAGATGAAAAGTTGGAATTAACTTCTTTCTCTCTTTCTTTCTTTATCCAGCAGCGTAAATTAGCTTCCATATAGACACAAGTTGGTCTATATATGAATAAATGTTAAAAAGGCTTGCCATAATCGGGATGGATATGATGACCCCGAGTTTGCCTTTAGGACCCGGAGGCACCGCTGCTCCGGATGACACTCGCGCGTTTGGAGTGAAAGTCTCTTACAAGCACAAATTAAACACAACACTTGTGGAAAGGCGAGGTGCACACAGCTGGCCCTGGCTGGAGTATATAACGCCTGGAATGACAGTGACATTGAATGGATCGCAGCGAAAACGCCCGGCTGTTGCGCGCAGCTCCGTTAGGAACACAAGTATGATTTTTCATTGCAGGCGCAACTAAGTTTGAGGAGTTTCCTGCAACTTCATGCTGGACAAAATATAAAGGGATCGTCTGTGTAGTGCCTTCCCTTGAGCGTTTTTCTTTGTCTTTTTTGGATACTCCAGGGATTTTTTTTGGTGTGAAAAGTGTCAAAGTGAATTTAATAGCCGTCGGAGAGGAGAAAGTTGCAACTTGCTCTTTTTAAAACCACATGTTGCTTCCTAAACATCCCACGGATATTTATAACACCATTGCAAGACATTCTGGATGCGAGTTGAACGCGCACAAGGATTTATGACATGGTATGATTTCAAAAATCTCTGTAAAAACATCTTAAACCAGCCTGATGGCCAAACTGGTCTTCAGGTGGTCTTAACATGCACTTAGCTGGTCTTCAGATGTTCTTCTGTGGTCAAAGGTGGTTTACCAGCCTAGCCAGCTGGTCTTAGATGGTTTAAGCTGATTTTTAGCTAGTTTAGCTGAGTGTGCAAAACCACTTTAGTTCAGTTTGGGGTGGAAGACCAATTAAGACCAGCAACCCCTTTAGACTGGTTTCTGCAGCAGTGATGTATTCCACATGACATCTCAAGCAAGCTGTACGATTGTTAAACTTTTAAAAATGCTTTACGCAATTTTCGAACTGACTTTTCTTCTCAGCGGTTATGGTGCCGTGGTGGCAGAAGTTAAAATGAGGTCTTTTGGCGAGCAGTTGGTGCGCTCAGAATGGCCCGGGAGGATTCGGTGAAGTGTCTGCGCTGTCTGCTCTACGCGCTCAACTTTCTCTTCTGGGTAAGACGAGTCCAAGTCGGAGCAGGTGGCTGGGCGAGCGCTCACGTTACATGGCTCGGTGCTGCTGTGCGCTCTGCGCTCTCCAAGACGCGCAACAGACACTCACTCTCCGACACACGCGCAATCTGTGTTCCCTCCCTCCCCGTCCTATGTTATCTTTATGTAGAGGACAGCCCGTATCCCAGCTATGCTCGAATGGCGCACAGCTCACATTCTGCCGGGCGCTATTTTTAGGGAATTAAATGTGATAAACACCAGGGTGTGTTTTTAGACCAAGAATGCCTGCGTAGGGCAAACTAAACTCATGCCAGTAATATTGCAGCATGTCAAATATAGCACAGTACCTAAATAGGTTTCCAAGCCAACCAAGTACACAAATACAGATCCATGCAATGCTTGCTTGTTTTTTAATACACTCAAGAAAAAAAATGCTGTACAAAGCTGTCACTGGGGCAATATACTAATATACAAAAGCTAAAAGGTACATCTTTGTAACTTATTTACACCTACAAATTCGAAAAGGCAGGCTACATATGAATCCAGTTATGTACCTTTTTTTGTCTAAAGTCTCCAAAGTCTAAGCCACAACTAAAATGCATGAATTTTATAGCATTACGCAATCAAACCAAATGACATCTGTAAGCAAAGGATGCCAATTTTTACCAGGTGGTCCAAATGGGATTTTTAGTGGCTGTATGAAGTCTGATATTTGGCAGCCAGAAACAATTAAAACCAGTTAACAATTAAAAATACTTTATTGATCTCGTATTTTAATTTCAGCATTTACTAATACATTATAAAATCAAAAGTTGTAAAATATATAAATATATATATATATATAAATTACTATAAATTACAATTAAAAGTTAAAGTATAAATAACAATATTGTAACAAAGGTATTGCTAACTGTTAATGCATTAACATTATCTAATAGACCTTATTGTAAAGTGTTAACAATAAAATATATAATAGATTAAATCTTGAAACAAATATTAAAACAAAAATCAAAACTTTTGGGGGGAGAATGTTTTTGGAAAATGTTTTCTTGCTTGTATTATCTTTGTCAAAAATAAGGATATCCATGTTTTTTTTTGATAATTTTTTATATAATATATAAAAATCACATTAAATAAGAAAAATGCATGCCAAAAATAAATGTTTAAAAATAATTACTTTATAAAAGTATTGAGATATAAATATCTGTATTAATTTATTCAGTAAAAATAAAATAGTTTTTGTTAATGTAATTTTTAATAATTTTTTATTAATATTAAATGTTATTTTTACATTACAAGTTAACAAAAATACAAAACATGCAATCTCTGCAGAATGAAACATAATATGAACTAGTATAAGTTAAGCTCAATCGACAGCAATTATTTATGTGAACTAATAATGATTAATTGATTATATCATTACTTTTTTAATCATAAAATGAAAACTAGGTGTTATGGTAATACACTTACAATGGAAGTGAATAGGGCCCACTTTCAGAGGTTTTACAACAAGAGACATGCAGCTTTTCATTTTCTAAAAACACCGTCATTCTTCTGTTAAAACAAAGTAAATCTGTTTAAATAATTTTACAGTCGTTTTAGGATTAATAGTATTACATTATCATGGTAAGTGGATATATACGTTTACACAGAATAGGCTAGTAGTATTTTTTTCACAGTAAAATCATATTTACATGCACATTGTTTGCATCTTGTGGCTATACTACTGAAATTGAGAGTATTTTAATGCTTGCAGATTGGCCTCAGTTCCACTGTAAGTGTCTCACCGTAAACAGATTTTTGGCTTTTCTATATAAAAAGTGGAAATTACTTTGTTGAAATTGCGGTATACAACATTATGCCACAAAAGCTGTCGATTGAGCATAATGTGTACCGAACCCAGATAATTCCTTAAAAATGTAGTGTTGCATCTTAAAAACAGTGTTGCATCTTAGAGAACTGGAGCAAAAGAAAGCCAAACAGAAGTAGAGACAGCAAGAAACAGGAAGAGAGAGAGAGCTTGCATTCCTACAGAGTATAATCACAGTTTATTTGCAACTGGTGTATTACTCAAATATGCTGCCCTATGAGAGGAGGAAGAGACAAGTGAGCAGGATGGACGGATAAATAAACAAAAGGCCTGCCAAGAAATGACTCTTCCTCTCTCTCTTTCCCTCAGACTGGAGGAGGCAGCCGTTCTCACATACTCCCCCGTCGTCCATCCTGTCGTCATCGCCGTGTGCTGTCGTATTTCTATACTATATATATATATATATATATATATATATATATAAATTACAATTAAAAGTTAAAGTATAAATAACAATATTGTAACAAAGGTATTGCTAACTGTTAATGCATTAACATTATCTAATAGACCTTATTGTAAAGTGTTAACAATAAAATATATAATAGATTAAATCTTGAAACAAATATTAAAACAAAAATCAAAACTTTTGGGGGGAGAATGTTTTTGGAAAATGTTTTCTTGCTTGTATTATCTTTGTCAAAAATAAGGATATCCATGTTTAATTGTGGCTCAAGTACCTTCAAGTTTTCTTCTCTATTCCCCCCCCAAGCTTATGGCCCTGTGTGTGCTGGGAGTGTCCGCCTGCCTCAGGGATCACCTGAACAATGTGTTCACCTTAACCGCTGACACCAGGTGAGTGGTAGCGGACGGACAGGTGTGAGCCGTAAAATCCTTTCATTCGGGGCAACGGTCCATGTAAAGGTCTAATTTACTGTTTTCCCACTTTTCAACCAGTTTGGATCAAATTGCCTCGAGCTTATGAAGTAATTACAAGCATGAATGAGGTGTGCAGTTCTGGGGAAGAAATCAGATAAATACATTAAGTCGCCAGTTGAGACAGGGCCTGGGTTGTGAACCATTAATTTGTGTATGCTTTGTAATTGTGTAGTTTTTGCCCCCCAAATCCTTTCAAGCATTAAAGGAAAACTCTGCAAAACTGGAAGAAAAATCCCAAAAGTATCAATATTATCCTGGAGGCGAGTGATATCTAATTAGTGTTGACAAAAAGCAATTTATCACCAAGGTGTGTATTATAATTCAAGTCGTTACTGAGTCCTCTGTGGCTCACATCATGACAGGAATGGGAATCAACAGAGAAAATTGTGTTAAAATCTGATTGTACACAATGAGTAGGTTTCCAAAGTTGCACTGCAGTAACATGCTGAATCAGCCCTTCTTCCATGACTGTAAAATAGGATATTATAACATAACAGGAAATTAACTAGAGTAGAACATTTCAGATTTATACAGATATGTGTGATCTTTAATTAGATATTTAGAAATATTCAGTCTAAGTTAAGCTCGGTCTCACATACTCCCCCGTCGTCCATCCTGTCGTCATCGCCGTGTGCTGTTTTCTAATCATCGTGGCTATGGTGGGCTACTGCGGCACACTCAAGTGCAATCTGCTCCTACTGTCTTGGGTAAGTAGAACTGGGAAGAAAAAAAAATGCAAACAAAAAACGAGGACAGCAGGAACATTGTGTGGTTTGGAATGTGTGTGGTTTTGTGTACCGAGAATATTTTAAGTTTAGCTGGCAGAGAAAAATAGTTTTTTAAATTATTATTATTATATATATATATAATTGAGAGTATATATATATATATATATATATATATATATATTTTTTTTAATTTACTAGTACTTAATTATATTAATATTTCAAGCAATATATTAATTTTATTTATATATTTACACTTTTTAGACATGTATATGTATGCATATATATAATGAATGCAAACAAAAAACGAGGACAGCAGGAACATTGTGTGGTTTGGAATGTGTGTGGTTTTGTGTACCGAGAATATTTTAAGTTTAGCTGGCAGTGACGTTGTTGACCCCAACCACCCTCCAACCAGATTCCAACAAGTCATGCTTTCTTTATCCACGCATCCCCTCCGAGACCGCTGTGTCTTCACTTCATACACTAGAGGGGAGTAGAGAGAGAGAGCACATCCTTATAGTCTTCCTCAAATATTTACTTGTGTAATGTGATGTATTTCCAAGTGAAATTGGGTATTTGATGAGATGAAATTGTGAGACGAATCTTGATTTTTTTTCATTGGTAACTGATTGGATCGTGAAAAGTGGCCTTTACATATGAAAATGGAATAAGGTAGTTAAAACATACAATAAGCGGCCTTGATGATGTCAGCAGAAAAGGAAAGTTGTTTTAGAGTCTGAGTAAATTTTTATTTTTTTTCATGAAAGTCTGTTTAGACTATGAAAAAGGTCATTAAAAATGTCCAAACTGCTCACTGCTAATTCGCTGAAATTGAAAGTTAATTTGCTTAATCTGATGTGGAACACAGAAATATATTTAATAGAGTGTCCAGGCTGCTCTTTTTCGTGCAATAAAAGAAAAATAGTTTTTTAAATTATTATTATTATATATATATATAATTGAGAGT